GTATTTTCGGGGCCATTGCGTTAAGTCAGAGAACAAGTCTTTGTGCCAGCAAGTCTATAAATTGCACACTTCTGAACAGAGATTCATAATTAGGGAAGTGAAGTACTTGAGTATATTCCTGAGAGAGAAAAGAAACAGGAAGTGTTCATTTTGCAACAGAGGGACTTGGGAACTGGAGTGGGCCTTTCAGCCACTTGAACCTGCTGTCCCATTGAATATGATCATGCCTAATCAAACACTTCAATGTGTTTTACGCACTCCATCCCCATATCCCAGTTAACAATTGGCAATCAGAAATTTATCAGTCTCTCCCTTAAACGTACACCGAGATGGAGTGACTGTAGTTCCCTGTAGGTACTGAATTCTAAAGCTGAGCAAAATAACATAAATCCTCATCTTGGACCTAAGTCCCAATTATTTTAAAACCTTGCCTGGTTCTAGTCTCCCCCAACCAGCGACTGTTAAACCTGTCTCTTCCCTTTTAAGCATTGTGCGACAATATTTTCAATAATATCATTGCTCATTCATTGAATCCCTAGATAATACCAGCCCGGTTTGTCCACTATCTCTTCACAGGATGTTGCCACCATCCCAAGGACAAGTCTCGTGAATCTACATGGAAATAACATCTCCTGAGATAAGGAGACCCAAACTGCACACAGGACTGCAGGTGCGACATAACTAAAGTCTGATACGTTTGAAACCAGACTTCACTACTGCTGGACCCAAATCTTTTTGCAGTAATGTCTCACATTCCATTAGCTTGCCTATAAGTGTCTTCAGGCATCAAGCAAGGCATCAGAGATTTAAACAAGAATGGTGCAATGTAATCATGGGTTTAATTTACATCTAGCTTGGATAAGACAAAGTGGTGGAGTATTTCCATGTGTATGTGTGTATATGTGTTCTGTTTGTTTTGTATTCATTTGTGAAATGCAGGCTTTGCTGGATGACCAGCATTTATTGTCCATCCCTAGTTGCCCAGACCAATACCTTGAAGAACCAACTTGACAACAGGATATTCTATATGGGATATATTGCAATGAGAAACAATGCATTAGCAATCTTGTTATGTGCAGGTCACTTGGGGAAGAGTGACCATAATATGACATCATTCTTCATTGAGGTGAAGAGCCAAGTCGTTGAACTAGAAGCTAGGATCCTGGATGTAAATGAAGGGAACTATGAGCACGAGAGGCACAAATTGACAAGGATGGATTGTGGAGTCATACTAAAGTGGTTGATGGTGGATAGGATGTGATTCATGCTTAAAGATAGTACCCATGAATTACAACAATTATTCATTTCTGTCTGACAAATGGAAAAGGGGGAAAAGTGGCTCAGCAATGGGTTAAAAAAAGAGATTAGGGAGAACCAAATAGCAGAGATGTAAAATTGCCAGAGCAAAGAAAACAGCAAACCTAAGGATTGGGAACATTTTAGAAATCAGCAAAAAGAGGAAAATAAATCTCGAGTGGAAAAAAGTGTTGGAGAGGAAAATTGCGGTGAGCATAGAAATTAGCTGTAAAAATGTCTATAAATATGTGAGAACAACGAGTTTATAAAGGTAGATGTAGGGCAAGTGCAGTGATACTGGGGAACAAAGAAATGGCAGAAGATTTGAACAAATATTTTGCTGCTGTCTTCACAAAAGAGGGCTCCAGTAAGTGCCCATAAATGTTGGAGAACAAATATTAGGGTTGAGTGAGAGGGCCAATGTGAATGGGATCAGTATTAGGAAGGAATAAGTGCTGGGGTAAGTAACAGGGTTAATGATTGACATACCACTGGAACCTGATCATCCATATTCCAGAGTAGTGAATGAAGTTACCCTGGAAACATTAGATGCATTGATAATCATCCAAAATTCTGTAGTCACTGGAGCATTTCCTACACGTTGCTGCTCTCTTTCATTTTATATATCCATAGAAGCTCTTTCTGTATATTTTTATGTTTCTTAACATCTTACTTTTGTGATCATTTTTTTCTGTTTTTAAGCATCATCTGCGTCTTCCTGAAAGATGTCCAATTCTCTAACCTACCTCCACACTTTGCTGCTTTGTCTACCTTAAGTTTTGAATTGGACAATGCTCATTG